AATCTACAATTTCTAGGATTATTTTTTAACAAAAATTGTAAGAAAAATCTTCTGGAATTCCGAATACTCTTAGGATCAAAGTACAAACTTCCTATTGTGGTTTACCAGATCTTGCAGGTCTGACCCTGAATATTTCTCTAGCCTCATCTTTAGAGTGTGTGTGTGTCTGTCTGTCTCTCTCTCTCTCTCTCTCTCTCTCTCTCTCTCTCTCTCTCTCTCTCTCTCATAACTTCATCCCTGGTCCCTGTGCCCCAGCCATTATGAATGTATTTTAGTTCTGTGAATATTCCCTGTGTTTTTCTTATCCTTGAAATAACATGTATTGTTCCCTTTGTCTGGAACAGGCGTCTTCTTTCTTATTTTCCTGGTAACGCTCTCTGGTCTTTGGATCTCTTCTGAAATGACACTTATCCATAGAGGCTTTCCCTGACTCCTTCCAGAATGTACTGATATATAGATATAGAAATATAGATATAGGTATACATATAAACCCATATATATGCATATTTATGTAACAGTCTATCTAGAGATAAATAATTCCAATAATATATATGTATATACATATATGCATACATATATGTATTGGTCTCTATACCTTTTTTTAGCAAATTTTTTGTTTTGGTGTCAAGTTTATTGAGTTCTTTATATATTCTGAATGTTAATGCCCTATCTGAGAGGCAGGTGGCAAAGACCTTCTCCCATTCTGTAGGCTCTCTCTTCATGCTCTTGATTATTTCCTTTGTTGTGCAGAAGCATTTGATTCCTTCCCAGTGTTTGATTATTGGTTTTATTTCTTGCACTTTAGGAGTTTTATTAAGGAAGGTGGTTCCTGTGCCAACATGTTGGAGTGTTTGGCCTATATTTTCTTCTAGATGTTGCAGAATTTCTGATCTAATTCCTAGGTCTTTGGTCCACTTTGAGTTGGGTTTTGTGAAGGGTGAGAGATAGGGGTCAAGTTTCATTCTTTTACATGTGGATCTCTAGTTTTCCCAGAGCCATTTGTTGAAGAGGCTATCTTTTCTCCAGTGTTTAATATGAAATAACTGTATTCATGAGGGTTTATCTCTGTGCTTTCTATTCTGTTCAACTGGATCCCATGCCTCTTTTGGTACCATTACCATGCTGGTTTTGTTACTACAGCTCTGTAATATAATTTGAGGTCCAATACTGTGATGCCTCTAACTTCCCTCCTCTCACTAAAGATTGCTGTGGCTATTCTGGGTCTCTTATATTTCCAAATTAATTTCAGAGCTGTTTTTTGTAGCTCTGTGAAGAATGTCATTGCTATTTTGATGGAGAATGCATTGAATCTGAATAATGCTTTTGATAGTATGGCCATTTTGACAATAGTAATTCAGCCTATCTAAGAACATGGGAGGTCTTTTCATCTTCTAAGGTCTACTTAGATTTCCTTCTTTAGTGTTCTATAGTTTTCCTCATAGAGTTCTTTCACCTCACTTGTTAGATTTATTCCCAAGATGTTTTTTTTTTCTTTTTAGTTTATTCTGAATGGAATAGTTTTTCTAATTTCATTTTCAGCAGATTCATTATTAGAATATAGGAAAGCAACTGATTAATACATGTTCATCATGCTACCTGCTGAATGAATTTGTCAGGTCTAGAAGTCTTCTAGTGGAGTTTTTTTGGAGCATCTTCTAAATATGGGGTCATGTCATGTGCAAACAGAGAGAATCTGAGCTCTTCTTATCTTATTGGTATTCCTTTAAATTTCTCCTCCTGTCTGATTGCTCTGGCTGGAATTTCAAGGAGTATGTTGAACAGGAGTGGCAAAAGTGGGCATCCTTGTCTTGTTCCTGTGTTTAGAGGGAATGTTCTCAATTTTTCTCCATTCAGTATGTTACTGGCTTTGGGTTTGTCATATAGAGCCTTTATGATGTTCAGCTAAGTTCCTTGTATCCCTAGTTTCTCTATGTTTTAAACATGAATAGGCTGCACTTTTTCAAATGCTTATTGTGCATCTATGGAGATAATCATGTGATTCTTGTCTGTAAGTCTATTTATGTGGTGAATTATATTTATTAATTTTTCAGATATTTAACCAACCTTGCATCCCTGGAATGAACCCAACTTGGTCATAGTGCACTATCTTTTTAATATGTTTTTCTTTGCTGTTTGCCAATATTTGATAAGAAATTTTGTACTGGGCTTGTTGATGTATGCATGTAATTCCAGTGGCTCTGAAGGCTGATATATGAGGATTGGAAGTTCAAAGTGAGCCTCAGCAACATAGCAAGGCCCTAAGCAAGTTAGAGTAACCCCATCTTAAAATAAATACAAAGGGTTGAGGATGTGTCTCAGTGATTAAGTGCCTCTGGGTTCAATCCCATATATCAAAGGAAAAAATTATATCTATATATTTGCCATATATTTTATGTATTCATTTGCTATATATGTTTGCTATAACATTACATGAGGGCTGAAAGTGGGCTAAAAAAGATTTGGCAAAAGATTGAAAAAAAGGAAAAAAAAACAAAGTGAATATAGAATGGAATGGTGCAGTCCAAGGTAAAAATAGAAATAGGTAGATGTGGTGTATGTGAGGTAGTATAGGGATATGAGGAGCAAGGAGAAACTAGGGCTAGGAGACAGCGATTGGGAGAATTAATTCTAAGTAATGCTTTAAACCATTAGAAGAAATACATTCAAATGGGTTGAAAGTACAATGTTGGCTATTAGGATGATGACTAAGTATCAAGTTAAAAAGTAATATATATGACCAAAGTTGAAGTTTTTGCTATTTATAGTAAACCATGCCAAGGTGACAAAATTTTTGGTTGAATCTTGGTTTGGGTTGCATTAGAATTTGGTACATTTAGCAGATATCCATCACTCTTTGGCTCTGGATCCTTCCAGAGGTGCTGGAATACAGGAACCTTCCCTAATTGCTGTGGACCTCCCTCCAGTTGGTTCTGGTTTGTCAGCTCAAGGGCCTGAAGCTAACTTCTTGGAGGGTGTGGTGTTGTGTCTGTTGGTTGGTTTTTATTGTGTGCTGAGATTCAGGACAAAGGCTCTGGACCGGGGTTATGATGGATGGTTCACTGTGTGTATGTGTTTCCCTGCACAGGGTCTTTTGCTTGGTGGTGTGGTCTGTTTGCTGTCTATAAGCATAGGTCCTGTGGCTGTGTTTTCTCCATGAGTTTATCTGTGGTGTATAAACATCACCCAGCTTATACAACTTATGAGGTACTATTGTTATTATGGAGTGAAGGGACTCAGCCAGTCTATCTGGGTTCTAGTTTCTACTGCCTCAGCTTGTAAATAGCAGGTGCTGATTCCCTCTGCTGATTGTGTCTGAGGCAGGGTCCAGCCACTATCCAGTGTCTGATCACTCCACAGTTGTGGTACAGGGTCAGGCTGGGAGCAAGTCAGATTGGGTGCCTTTGATTTTCATTGCCTTGGGCCCAGGGAAATTCGTCCCTTGGCTGACCTGCTGGCTGTGGTAATGGTCTTTTCCTTTAAGCTTCCTGTGGGGGCTTAGGCACTTGCCTGTGGCTTTCTACTAGGTGTAGCCATGGTCGGGAAACCCATACCTCTATGCTGCTGAATATTCAGACAGGTTCTGTCCTATTTGGCTTCAATGAGGCCCATGATCTGGTCACCAGTCTCTCTAGGTTTCTTAGGACTAGTGCTACTTTGCATGGATCTCACTCCCAGTGTCAGCGGGCAGCGATAGTGGTTCTATAGGTTCCCCTTTCCTATCCTCAGAGCCCAATCTGTCTTGCCACTCAGATCTGAGCTCAGATTTCCACCACCCTGAATTTTGAGCATCTGCTCCATCTCTGCTGGGCTCTCTGCATCAGTTGAGCAGGCACTGGGTTGGGCAAGCACTTCCCAAGCAGGCTTCTCCACCCTGTTCCCCTTGTTCACAGTGGGGAGGAGGCAGTTTCAGCAACTTTCAGATAGTAGTTGGATTCTTTTTTTTTTTTAATCGGTTATAGTTGGATTCTTAAGAGAACCCACTACAGGGGTGTTCTGGTTTAGTTTGCTGCTAAGTGAGGTAGGGGGATGTCATGTTGATTTAAGGCAGTGACTATTCAAGTATGGGTTTCCCCAAATGGCTGCAGTGTCCAGCAGGGACACTCCATTTACAATTTGGTTGTCTAGTACATGATCTGCTTCAAGGACACAGCTGTTACTGTCGTATTTTAATTTTTCCTGGTTTTCTTTCCAAATGTTAAGGGAGTGAGCTTATATGATTTTCCTGTTCCCTCTTTCTCTGTTGCCCTTGTCTCTTCCTCCAATCTGGTCCAGATTCAGGGTTGGGGAACTCTACACTTATTTTCTACTGTGATAACCAATCTTCAATTCTCTCCAGGTCTCAGACTTTGTAATATTGGGCCTCAGGGCATTTACTTTTTTCTTCCAACTCTCTGACTTGTTGTTTCTTCTCTGTCTTCTTTCTGTGTGGTGAGGGGACTAGAAATTGCTGCCTTCTCCTCCTCCTCCTCCTCCTCCTCCTCCTCCTCCTCCTCCTCCTCTTCCTTTTCCTCCTCCTTCTCCTTCTTCTTTTTCCCTTCCTCCTCCTCCTCCTCTCTTCTTCTTTCTCCTTCTTTCTTCTTCTCCTCCTCCTCCTCCTCCTCCTCTTTCTTCTTCTTCTTCTTCTTCTTCTTCTTCTTCTTTTCTCTCTCTCTCTCTCCATATATATATATATATATATATATATATATATATTTCTTTCCAAGTAGACTATGAACCTATAAGCTCTATATCATTTCTCTTTGCTCACTAGTATATAAAAACAGATCCTAAAAGAGTATCTAACATATAGTATTTATCCCATAAATATTTTGAATAAATAGGTAAGTATATGGTTAAATAAATGCCTAACAAATTCTTAGAAAACAGTTGTTGATTGACATGTCCCCCAGTCATCAGTGATCTCATTTTCATAAAACCCATGGATATGCAAAAGCTTCTCTCTAGACTTTGCCTATTATTTCACTCGTAATAAAGACGGTAACTTAAATTAGAGTAGTTACCTCAAATCTTGGTATGTCCATCTCAACCTGTCCTTTTAGCAGTGGGGCTTGTCTGGGAGCCTCGCGGATCATCACACTCCATCTGAAATGAAGTTCAAAGACAGAAATTTAGGGCTCTCCTTTAATAAAAGTTGGAATCAATGTTTCATAGGTCAAAAAAGATGGCAAAATGTATATGTGGTGGGGGGATGGTTTATATGGGGGTACTCAAGCAATTTCTGGCCACTGATCTCAAGGTATACCACAAGAAGGGACTCTGCTTCATGACTTTCCTAGGCCAGTGATGGAAGGAATTCTTCCTAAAGTTCTCAGAGAGCAGCAGTGCTTCTCAACCAGACCTAATAGCAAGATCACTGGTGGTGCTTTTGTAAAATGCATATAACAGGGCCCTGCCCAAAGACCTACTAAATAAGAATCTTTATGGTTCTGGGCAAGGTGGCACACACCTGTAATCCTAGCAGCTTGGGAGGCTGGGGCAGGAGGATTGCAAGTTCAAAGCCAGCCTCAGCAACTGCAAGATGCTAAGCAACTCAGTAAGACCCTGTCTCTAAATAAAATACAAAATTGGGCTGGGGATGTGACTCAGTGGTTGACTGCCCCTGAGTTCAATCCCCAGTACCAGAGAGAGAGAGAGAGAGAGAGAGAGAGAGAGAGAGAGAGAGAGAGAGAGACCTTGCAGTTCAGGAGGCTGAGGCAGGAGGATCACAAGTTCAAAGCTAGCCTCAGCAATGGCGAAGCCCTAAGCAACTCAGTGAGACCCTGTCTCTAAATAAAATACAAAATTGGGCTGGGGATGTGGCTCAGTGGTTGAGTTCCCTTGGTACCTCCCCCAGAAATCAATCCCTCGTCCCCCATCCCCCAAAAAAGAATCTTTATGGCAGGGCCCAGTTTGGTATATTGAAAAAGCTCCTCAGGAAATTGTTTTCTAAATTAAATTTTTAGTTGTAAATGGACACCATACCTTTATTTTATTTCTTTTTATGTGGTGCTGAGGATCAACCCAGGGCCTCACACATGCCAGGCAAGTGTTCCACCATTGAGGCCCAGCCCCAGCCCTCCCCAGGAAATGTTTACATAGAGCCCTAAATCAAATATCTGAATGTTCCCCAGCATAAAACGTTTTGTTTTTTCCCCCTCAGAGGTAGTAGGATGGTAATACTCTCTCTAGAGTAGAGACCATCTAAGACAGGTGTTTTGACTCTCCCCCCACCTTTTCAAAGTTTCTTTATGGCTCTTTTCTGAGGAAAAATATGTTTATATAGATACCTGGCTATGCAAATTGAAGGAGGTTCATAGAATTCTTGAACTTTACTCATGAGGCCTCTGCTTAGGATCTTTTAGATTTGGAGAGGGCCTTCAGTGATATTTGAAGGAAATATATTACATGCTTGGTTTCCCAAGAGGCAAGGCCCCCCACATTGCCTTCAATTGAATCCAGAAAGGGCATGAGGCTCTGGGAGAGAGTTTAGAATATACTTAATTGAGATGATATAATTGGGTGTAATGGTGTGAGACTGAAAGAGGCACAAGGGTCTAGTCTTTTGGCCACTCACCTGTCTAGAATCCTCACAGTAGCCTGCTCCACTCGGCTGAGGATGTCCAGCGGTGACTTGTTTTTGTTCCAGAAAGCACCCCAGCCCAGGACACGTGCCAGATCATTGCCGGTTCCAAGTGGGATGACTGCCAGCTGACACTGCAAGAACAAAAGATAGTATACTTTATAGACACTCCTCCACTAATCTTCCCCCATGAAAGAACCCACAGGCTGTTTTTTCCCTATTCTATTTTTATTGATTGGTACATTATAATTGTATGATTGTATAATTATAATAGTGGTAGTCAGAAGGTGCTCTTTGTGAATAATTACAGTCTTAAAGACAGTGGTTTTAAGGGGCTTCAGAATCCAGGAAGAGTATTCGGAGGATGTTTGAAGGTGAGTGAAATTTTCTCTAAGGAGGTGGACCCCACACTTAGCAATACAGAATCTATTTAGTAAAGGGGAAAGTTATTGGAATATGCCAAAAGTCACAGCCATGGTTATAAAAGAGAAATGTAGTCCCAAATTTCTCTTTGGGTTGGGCCCAGTAGGTGGGGTGCCTCAGGAAATAAGCTACTAGAGTCGGGAGAGCAGGGGCCTGCCTAGGGGTGGGCAGCTCTACATCCCTACTCTTTCTAGGAGTGGCTAAACCGAGTCAGCCAAGGACTTACCCTTTCATGTAATCCAAAGGCATCAATCATCGATAAGACCCAGCTCACACTGCCATCGCCACCGCAGACCAGAACACGAAAGCGAGCAAAGTTCTTGAACATGCACAGCCTGAAAAGGAAGAGGGGGAAATGGGGTCATTTCACGAACATCTAGGTTTTATATGGGTTTCCTACCATATGTGAGGGCCCAAGGACTGCTGCTTTAGCACCCTGATAAAAGGCATCTGCTTTCTTTCCCTTAGCCACTGCTTCTATGCAGACCTAAGACTACAGACACTTTCCCATAGGCGACCCCAGAGGGGTCAAGTCACACTCTTGCTCTAGAAACCATTAGTAGCCTAGTCAAGCCTTTGTGCTGAGGCCCAGGAAGAATGCCTGGTAGAGTGGTCAGTGGCCTTACAGGAACCAGGACTAAGCAGCTGTAGGTTCCAAAATAGAACAGGCCTGTGTATATATATATACATACATATATTTCACTACTCAGGAGAGGGTTTAAAACCCTCCAATCAGCCAACCCCAAATGCTATGGAGTTATATGAGAAAAATAGATCCTTCCTCTCCAGGTACAAGGACCACTTCTAGAAATCTATCCTAATCCAGACTATACAAAGGGAATCCCTTCTATAAACCCAATTATATCCCTTGCCTCATGCTTACCCTGCTTCAGGTCCACCCTTCGATAGGTCAAAGACTTGAGACGGATTAAGGTATTGCTTGAATTTTCGGAGGAATACGACCCCTTGATGATCACCGCTTTTGGAGTTCACGAAGATGAGCAAAGGACATGAACAAGCAGATGACCAATCAAGATTCCAGAAGTCTGAAGATACTACTAGCTGACCTGAAAAATATAAAAGGGAAAAAAACTGGTTATTGACATGGAAATGAGATATGAATTAATATCATACTTTGCAATGATTTTTTTTAAAAAAATCCCATTTCCAGTCTCCTGAGGGGCACAGGGAAAGCCAGGCCCCCTGAGGGGGCTTAAAAGTCTCTCTCTTATCTGTTGCTAGGCAAATATTTGCTGAGCAACTATTAATACACCAACCATCATGCTAGATGCTGTCAGGGGTATAGCCCGTAACCTCAAGCTGGGGATACAGACCCATACACATGTGCCCATGTAGGAACACAAGAAATTGGTGCCATGACCAAATATTAGTAGATCTCTGTAGAGGAACTGAGAAAAGGAGAAGATTGAAAGCCTAGGAGGGCCAGCACACCGACTGCTCCTCTCTCTGCCCAGGTTAGCTGAATTCTCACAGCAAGAAGATATCAGGAGAGAGAGGGGAGGGAATGGCTGTTGTTTAGCCAGGAGCTAAAGACAGAACATATCAATGTGGAATGAAGCAAAGAGCCTTAATCACTTCTCTAAGGCTCTGGCAGAGCGATCCATGTTATCATACCACTTCCAGGGGAAAACAAGACTATAGGGAAATTTTCTGAACAAGAGAGAGGCTTTTAATAATCCCCAACACTGGAGTTGCCCGTGGAGAAGTGGGGTTATAACAGTCTCAACAGCCAAAGCCTGCCAGCTCTTACTGAGTTTTAAAGCTTGTTGGCAGGGAGACAGGCTGCGAGCAACTGCCCCTCAGGAGAGGGATGCTAGAGAAGTAGCAAGTCCCTGAATGTCTGTGTCCATGGCTTTCCAAGGATGCCAACCCAAATTCACAGGGCTAAAAGCACGTGGCTCACTCCTGAATGGGGTGAGATGTCCCATTTATTGTAACCTGGGTAAAACAGAGCCTGAAGGAAATCTGCGTGAAGCAGATTTCATGGCTGTTTTGCATGGAAAAATCTCAGGCTGGTTTCTTCTGTGGGTCATTTCCAATTCACTGGCCAGTAGAGTTTGAAGGCATCCTAAACCACTTACCAGCCATGCACCAAACTTTCAGGGCTTGCTAGAACTCATAGCTCCAAGAGTTGGATATTGTGTCTCCTCAATGAGATAGCTTGAAAGTAGTTCCTTTCCCCAATCAAAATTGGTAACCCTTATTGGCATATTTTAATAAAAGGTAATTTCCTGATATGATGCTTGTGATAACACATTCATTCATTCATTCAACAAATATGTATTGAGAGTGTTCTCTGTGCCTGTCTTTGTTTTATATTCTGAGAATGCAGTAGATGGAAAAAATAGATACAGTCTCTATTCTTGCAGAAGTCAGGTTTGTTTTTAAAAAATATTTTTACCGTGCCATTGAGAGCTGAAATGTATTAATATTAGGCAGATTCATAATATTAGACATAACCAGGTAATCAACCACACCCACAAAGTTTTGAGTAGGACTGATGTTAACCATGAGGAAGCATCTTGTATCATTTCACAATTTTACTTGACAATTCAGATATGAACATAGAAGGCTGGCTTGTGAACTTTGAAGTCCCCAAAGCTAAAAGAAGAGCTACTGGATGATAGACTCAAGATTAGAATATGACCTCAACAGGTCTATGGGTCAAAATCAACAAATATAAAGGGAGTAAGTATGAAGTTTGGCCTTTAGGCTCAAGGATATACATTTCACTATAACAGGATAATAGGGACTTGGCTTGGCAAGTGTGAAAAGAGCTTAGGGGATTTAATTGACTTTAAGCTCCAGATGAGTCAACAGCCTGAAAGAACCTTTCAAAAATACCCATGCTTCTTTGAGCTGCATTAATAAAACCACAGAATCCTAAGCCAGGGAACCAGTAGTCCCACTCAATTTTTTTTCTGTTTACTCCATAGAAGGATACTAAACAGGCATAAGGTTGGCTTAGTTGTTTTTTTTTTTTTTTCCTTCCTGTACTTTTAAAATCCTCTTTAACAAATGTTAGCATATTCAGCCTCCATAATGTACCCGAGTACAACTATCATTCCCTATTAGCAGAAAACAGATGGCAAATGAGGTACAGAGAGGTTAAGTAACTTTCACGCACATTTAGCCTTCATTATACACCCGAGTAAAAGTATCATTTTTTATCAGCAGAAAACAAATAGCAATCAAGGCACAGAGAGGTTAAGTAACTTTTATAGGGCCACACAGCAAATGGTGGAGCATGCTCCAGGTCTAGTAGCATGAGAAGCATCTGGAAACTTTTTATAAATGTGAATTCATGGGTCCCACCCAGGTCTTCTGAAACAAAAACTCCTAGGGTAGTTCAGAAATCTGTGTTTCCAGATGAATGTGACATGTGCTTATATACTATTTTTCCTCTGTATGAATCAGTAATGCATTCTTAAGACACGTCTTATTCTCTAGATTGCTCAGTATTGGGGCTTACATACAGGCAGGATTCTGAAAATGGACTAATGAATTCACTTAACAAGTCTTGACTCTGCATATACCATATCCTCAGGTCTGAGTTAAATGGTAGGGGTTCAGAGAGTTCATAGTCTGGGCTAGGAGACAGACTAGGTATTTAAATGTTCAAGAAGATGATGAAATTAGTTGTATGCTCCTTAGGGTTATACTTGTAGATACCTAGGCCCTTTACATATTATCATTTTATCCTCACAATTAAAAGCTTTATTCTCAGGGTTGGGGTTGTGGCTCAGTGGCAGAGCGCTTGCCTAGCATGTGTGAGGGTTAGGGTTAGATTCTCAGCACTGAATATAAATAAATAAATAAATAAATAAATAAATAAATAAATAAATAAAATAAAGGTACATTGACAAGTTAAACAATTTAAAAAAACAGCTTAATTCTCAGTTATATAAGGAGAAGGCAAAGCTCAGAGAATATAAGAATATAATGTGGCTGCATTACTGTAGTATAAAAATATTAAGTCCTTTAGGTAGAAACCAAGGAGTGGGATAGCTGGGTCATCTATTCCTTAAAAACAAAAATAGAAGCAAAACAAAAACCCTTGTCCTTTGCCCCTGCTTCCTCTAACATTATCAGACCTCTTGATAGAATACACAAAATTTACTCTTGCTTCATTGATTTCATACTTACCTTCTTCCTGCTCGACTTCCTACAAACAGTTAAACCTTCCAACCCTTTTTTTGTGTGTGTGTGTGGTGCTGGGGATTGAACCCAGGGCCTTGAGCATGCAAGGCCAGAGCTCTACCACCTGAGTTATATTCCCCAGCCCAACAACCCTTTTTGATCTCCAAGTATCTGTACCATTCCCTTGGCACTTAGCACATATCATATCTTCAATGATTTCATACTTACCTTCTTCCTGCTCGACTTCCTACAAATAGTTAACCCTTCCAACACTATTTTTTCCCAACACTTTTTTTTTCAGCCAGTAAGTGACTAAAACTCATGGTTACCTGGCATTCCCCCCCCCCACCTTATACCATACTGCCTCTGTGCCTCATCTATTCTTTATATTATTTTATTTTAAATTTTGTTCTAATTAGTTATACATGACAGTAGAATGCACTTTGATACATCATATGTAGATGGAGTATAATTTCTCATTTTTCTGGTTATACATGATGTAGAATCCCACTGGTCATATAGTTATACATGCACATAAGGTAATAATGTCTGATTCATTCTACTATAATTTCTACCTCCATACCCACCTCCCCTCCCTTCACACCCCTCTATTTAATATAAAGTAACTCTATTCTTCCCTAGCCCTCCCCCCGCATTGTGAATTAGCATCCACATATCAGAGAAAACATTTGACCTTTGATTTTTTGGGGATTGGCTTATTTCACTTAGCATGATATTCTCCAGCTCCATCCATTTACCAGAAAATGCCACTATTTCATTCTTCTTTATGGCTGGCTGAGTAATATTCCATTTTGTATATATACCACATTTTTTATCCACCCATCTGTTGAAGAACACCTAGATTGGTTTCATAATTTAGCTATTGTGAAGTAAGATTCTATAAACATCTATGTGGCTGCATCACTATAGTATACCAATTTTAAGTTCTTTGGGTATAAACCAAGGAGTGGGATAGCTGGGTCATCTATTCTTTAAAAACAAATATAGAAGCAAAACAAAACACCCCTCTCCTTTGTCCCTGCTTCCTCTAACATTATCAGACCTCTTGATAGAATACACAAAGTTTACTCTTGCTTCATTGATTTCATACTTACCTTCTTCTTACTCCACTTCCTACAAATAGTTAACCCTTCCAACACTTTTTTTTGGTGGTGCTTGGGATTGAACCCAGGGCCTTGTGCATGCAAGGCCAGAGCTCTACCACCTGAGTTTTATTATATCCCCAGCCCAACAACCCTTTTTGATCTCCAAGTATCTGTACCATTCCCTTGGCACTTAGCACATATAATATCTTCATTTCATACTTACCTTCTTTCTGCTCAACTTCCTACAAATAGTTAACCCTTCCAACCCTTTTTTTGTGTGTGTGGTGCTGGGGATCGAACTCAGGGCCTTGTGATGCAAGGCCAGAGCTCTACCAACTGAGTTATATCCCCAGCCCAATGACACTTTTTTATCTCCAAGTACCTCTACCATTCCCTTGGCACTTAGCACATATCATATTGAATTGTTAATTTGTTGTATTACATCCTCAATTCACAGTAATCACTTGGTCTGGCAATGCTTGTGTCTTAGGTCTCTCTTTAGCTTTCAAGTAACTTGTGAATAGAGCTCTCAATGAAACACTATTATCTGGGAATTGACAAAGCTTCAATGAAGTGTTGGAGCAATGATCATGATAGTTTCATATTTAAGAACAACCTTGGTATTAATGTTCAATTTAAAAGTAACATAATCCAGGCGTTGGTATGTTACTTTTAAACTTCTTTAACTATCCATACCCATACAAAGCCATTTCATCAATTATCTAGTATTTGGAAATTATGAAAAGGCTGCAAGCAATTTGATCAGTCAGAAAGAATGATGACATAGGCTACAGAGAACATCTCCACATACATATACACCAGGCAGACCATAATCCCCCACCCCAAAGTTTCAAAGGGAACCACAAACTGCCCATGCACCCACACTCTCCTATTGCCCTCAAATACTTGACTCATTGAGGAGAACAATTCATCCCATCCCTTCTTCCCAGCATGCATATTCCCTCCCTCCCGGGGATATTCCAGAAATTATGGTTTAGGTACTCACCGTCGCCCTTTGGGTCGCTAAGGGCGGTTGGGGGGACTACGAGCGAGCGATGAGCCCCCAGGAAACATTCCTTGGAAAACCGTCTCTGACAGTCATTGTGCACCTGAAACGATAAGAACACAGCAAAGAAAAAAAAAAGAGAGAGATAGAGAAAAAAAAAGGATAGGGGAGAGAAAAGAAAACCTTGATCAGTGTTCGGTTCCAATATCAAAAATTGTACCCTTAATATTCTAATCTCCCTTTCTGAAATTTGGTGCCATATACAGACCCCTAACTCCCTGGCCATCCCCACCCCACACTGACTTCCCCCCACGTACCTATTCTTCCCAGGTTTCTGATTTCTACAAGGACTACTTCCTGGACAATTTTTAGGGGACATGAATCTGACCTGGTTATTCAAAAGCAAGTCAAAGAGGCAGAGGACAGAGTCTTTTATTACTTTTTAATACTGGGGATTGAACCCAGGGGTGCTTAACCACTGAGCCTTTTAAAAATATTTTATTTCGAGACAGGGTCTCATTGAGTTACATAGGGCCTCACTAAATTGCTGAGGCTGGCTTTGAACTCATGATCCTCCTGCCTCAGCCTCCCAAGCTGCTGGGATTAAAGGTGTGTGCCACCACTCCTGGCACAGACAGTCTTTAGAGAAGAACACCATACTTCAATTTCTACTTAGAAAATTCAGTTTAAGAAAAGCATCTAAAAGGCTGGAAAATCAAGACCAGGATCTCTCCATCTCAGCCTTATTGATATTTTAGGCCAGATAATTGTTTGCATTGTAGGACCTTTAGCATAATCCTAGGCCTCTCTAACTACTAGATTCCAGTAACATGCCCATCTTGAGTTTTTTAACAATCAAAAGTGTCTCAAATGGCTCTGGGACATTGCAAAATTGATCACAGTTGATGATCATTGGTATAGAGACGTAGAAGTACTACAGTTAAAAAAAATATGGTTTTTGCAGAATTATGTAGGAACCAAGACTCTTTTGTTTTCTGGCTGCATGACTTTGGGCAAATCATTTTACCTTTCTGAACCTCACTTTTCCTCATTCATAAAATGGATACAATGAGGCCTAGTTCAAATTGTATTAAGTGAGATTATGTATATAAAACATTCAATACATGGTGGTGATACCAATTTGTTAATATTATCAACTATTATTTACTTGCAAAGATTATAAGTTCCTAGGAAATACTCAATGAGGAAAAGAGAAGGTTTCTTAAAGATAAGCTCAGAATTCTTTTTTTTTTTTTTTTTTTTTTTTTTGGTACTGGGGATTGAACTCAGGAGCGCACGACCACTGATCACATCCCCAGCCCTATTTTGTATTTTATTTAGAGACAGGATCTCACTGAGTTGCTTAGAGCCTCGCTTTCGCTGAGGCTGGCTCACAATCCTCCTGCCTCAACCTCCTGAGCCGCTTGTATTACAGACGTGTTCCACCAAGACCGGCTCAGAATTTATTTTTTTATTTGACCATACTGCCATTAAAAAATTCAGCTTTTCCCATATGTTAGAAGGTCCGACCAATTAATAACCATCAGATATGAGCCTTTTAAATGTTTCCCAAAGACTACCTAGCCAGAGGGACAGATTACTGAGCTCTATACTATGGAATCGAATCTGTATAATATTTTGGGCTTAGTAACTCTGATAGTTCTATCTATGTATAGGCACCATTGAGCTCCACCCACCCCTTTCTAGAACTAAAGTATATCAAAGAGATGAATAGAGTCTTACCGTAGAATTGCACCAGAGACACCGGAAATCTTGGAGACGGTGCTGACTGCCACAGCTCTCGTGACAAACGGCACACTGAGAGCTGACGGGAATGTTTCCTTCTACCCACTGATGAGGCATGATTTGCTGAAGGGGGAAAAGAGAAAAGAGGCAGAGGTTAGTGATATCAGGAATAAAGGACTAGCTGGAATAATTTTAGTATGCTATGAAGGATCTTAGGTAAAAGCCCCAAATTATTCATAATCCTACCTTCCCTGCTCTAATTCTAGTGACCAGTAACAGGTGGAAGTGCATGTGGGGTGGGGGGCGGGGGATTTCATTCTTTGAGATTGATTGGAAAGCAAGCTTGGGGAAGAGGTCTACTTTCCTTATCTGGCAACAGGAAAAATCTTCCTAACCCCCAAGTATCATGACTGAAGGGGACATAATAGAGGCATATCTGGTACTTACTATTTCATCAGCAGGTAGGAGAAGATCATCAGTAATGGACAAGGTATTCCATTTACAGTCTTTGCTCGCTCTTAAAGCACATAACTTATGAGATTTCACTTTGCACACTGTGAGAAGAGAGGGAAAAAAAGAAGATGAGTGTGAGTCTTGTGCCAATGAAGATTCTAATTCCCTTCCCTAAGCTACTCAGCAAATTCAAACTCAGATGCATTCTAAATTGTTATGACCCACTGCCAAAAGTCTATTTCTAACATGAATCAGTTCCTCTTGCTTCTTACCAGCTCAACTTTCTACTTATTCAACTTGAATGGAAATTAATGGTAAGAAGGAGTTGATTTCTTTCCTACTCTCGTGACCATTAAGTTCCAGCCCCCCATTCCCAATTTTTCCTTTTCATCCACGAGAATTCCCTTTCAGGCTAGTTTCCTCCCTTCTTCTTTCCTTAACCTTACCCTTATCCCAGAGTGAATGATCTAGAGCTAGTCGGGGATATTAAAGCCACCTGAGCTCCTTTACCCCTGTCTCCACCCACTGAGTTCCATTTTCAAAAAGAATAAAGAAGGTACCTTCACAGATGATGGCATCTCTCGATAAGGCAGGAATGCTTTCTCGACAAACATTGCAGTGCTGAGTCCGGGAACTGTGGCTGGAATACCAGTAGTGCATTCCGACGAGGAAAGGGTTGTTTTCTGCGGCAGGTATCTAAAAGAAATCAAAGAGAAAAGAGAATGGAGGGTTAATCACAGAGAACTATTAGGAAAGGCTAGAAAATCTGCTGCTAGGATTCAATGGTCTGCTATATAGGTGTCTGAGCATGCAAAGGAGAAGACTGAAAATTGGAGCCAATACCTGTTTGTTTTTTGTTTTGTTTTGCTAATGATTTAAAAAGGGGAGAAAGAATAGAGGGCAGATCCTGAACTAAGAGCAATGTTCTTTAGAATGCTTGGCCAACTGCTGTATCAGTTTAGTCCAAGCAAGATTTGCTGTTAGCCTTGGCCTTGGTTCTCTTTAAGTCGACAGCAAAAAGGAGATGGTGAGTTAGAAATTCAGAGATAGTAAAGTGCTCTGCCCCTGGAAGGAAGAAAGAAGGCAGAGCTCTGCCTCTGGACTAAGGAATACTTGTCAGACTTCACCTACTTCCTGGAAGAAGGGCAGTTACTCCCCTTCCTGACCCTACTGATACCAGGTGAGCAGAGCATTGCTTTACCTGGACAACAGTTAAAGGAATTTAACTCCTTATCTCAGCAACTTTTGCTCAAGCATGTTTTTCTGAATAGCAAGCTCAGACTGCCTATAGCAGTTTCCTGGTTAATAGACTCAATTCACTCAATAACCCACTAAACAAATATCTACCACTTGCTATATGCTTGACACTGCTTAATATATTTGGGATATAGTGATGCACAAGACAAAGTCCCTGCCCTCATGAAGTGACATTCTGTTTGGTGTTCTCTTACATGATAATGACTCTGACATTATTGTTCATCTGCTTATGAATACTGCAGTTCTGTATCACAGCCTGACTCTCATGACTGTGGGGAAGGCACCAGATATACCACTGATAGTTTGGGTGTTGAAAGGAAGGAAGGGGTGGCACTGAAAACCCCCAACTTTGTTTTTTCTATATTTTCAAAGGACTTTTCCACTTTTTCTATAATTCCTGTGATTAGAAAATCCTCTCAATTTCTCCTCTCTGCCTTCCTCTAGAGTTTAGACATAGGCACACACACACATAGCATTTTATACTTGGCATGACAATGGATTGGGTATGTAAACGGATGACAAGACTTTTTAAATAATTGTGTACTTTCCCTGATATCATCTGATTGTGATCCATTAGAGGGAGAGCAATTGAGGGCTCTGCCACCTTAAGTGTTCAACCTTTATCAATTTATAGGAATTAGTTACTCAAGACAGAACTTGCATACAGCACTCTCTGTCTGGTCCCTTCCTCTCTATCTCTATCAGCCTGCAGACTATAGGCTAAACCACTACTGGATTGACTTGGAAGGTTCTAGAAGAAAAAGTTAATTTGATGAGCTAAAGGCTCATGAGTAATGGTCCAGAATTTCTTTGTGATAGGAATGTTTATTGTATATTGAGGACCTGGAAAACTCTAGGAAGATCAAATTAGAAAATGAAGAGTCCCAAGAAAGTGGCATAGTCTTGGCTTTGGTACTCTGAGCTCTCAGTATCTTTCTATTCCTCAAGCCACTCGACTGTAACTCTACAACACCTTCCCTCCTGCAATAATTATAAGAATTCTACAATGTGTTATATAAAATACTAGGAATTGGGTCTACAAAGATGAAAAAGCCACAGTGATGGCCCTCAAGAAGCTCTTAATTTACCAAAGAAGAGAAACTCTAAAATAAATCATTTCAGTATACAGTAACAAGTAAAAATCTTTAATATGCAAGGTTCTACAGGACATCAAATGGAAGAAATGCAAAACTCTGCCAATATAGAATACTGAATTCAATGGCCCAATGGGCTACAGAATAAAAAGGAATATATTAAGTGACAATTACTTAGGTTTAGCAGTTAAGGAGATGGAATTGATATTCCTGTGTATAAGGAAGCTGTGATGCATCTAACCTTGGAAAAGTATGTGTGATGGGTTGAATTGTGTGCTCCCTCCAAATATGTTCAAGTCCTAACCTCATACCTGTGAATGTGAAATTCACAATATTATTTGGAAATAGGTTCTTTACAGATGTGATCAAGCTAAGATGCACTCATGCTGGATTCAAGTGGGCCCTAATCTAATGACTGATGTCCTTATAAGAGGGAAGTATGGGTACAGGCATGCAAGGACATAAAAGGGAACACTTTGTAAAGATAGGTAGTACACAGATACGGGGTAGAACACCATGTGACAACAGAGGCAGAGATTACAGTGATGGATCTCCAAGACAAGAAATGCCAGGTTTTGCAATCATCAGAAGATAGGAACAGGTAAAGAAGAATCCTCCCCTAGAGCCTTCAGAGAGACTATGGTCCTGTCAACAACTTGAATTTAGACTTCAAGATTCCAGAAACTTGACAGAATAAGTTGCTATGTTTTAATTCACCCAGTTTGTGGTTGTTACAGCAGTCCTATAAAATTAATATAGATTTTGATACTGGCATATGGGAGCTTTTATAACAAATACCTAAAAATATGGAAGTGACTTTGGAATTGTGTAATGCATAAAGACTGTAAGAATCTCAAGGCACATGATTTATAAACCCTGGATTGCCTAAAATAGAATATTGCTAGAAACATGAACATTTTTTAAAATATATTTTAGTTGTCAATGGACTTTATTTTATTTATTGATATGTGGTGATAAGAATTGAACCCAGTGCCTCACACATGGTAGGCAAGGGTTCTGCCACTGAGCCACAGCCTCAGCCCTAGAAACATGAACATTAAAGGTGCTTTTGGTGAGGTCTCAGACAGAAATGAGAACCAGAGAGGATTGGAAGAAAGGCAATGCTTTTTATGGAGTGACAGAGAACTGACTGAATTCCATTATACTGTTGGGTAGAGTATAAAATATGTAAATTATAACTTGGATATTTAGCTAAGGAGATACCCAAGCAAAGTAGGGAAGGTGCACCTTGGTTTCTATTTGCTGTTTAGTGTAAAATTTAAGAGGAAAGAGATACATTGAGAAAGGTACTTGTGTTAGTCTGCTCAGGTTTTCATAACAAAATATCATAGACTGAGTGGTTTAAACAACATAAATCTATTTTCTCACATTTTAGACTTGAGTAGTCCAAGAGCAAAGTGTCAACCCATTTGGTTCCTGGTGAAGACTTTCTTCCTGGCCACTTTCTCACTGACTGCTCACATGGCCTTTCTTTAATGCATGTTTGTAGAGAAATAGAGATCTCTTCTCCTCTTCATGTGAGGCCAACAGTCCTATTGGATTAGGCCCCCACCCTTATGATTCCATTTAAATTTAATTCCTTCCTAAAATTCCTATCTCCAAATATAGTCACAATGGGAGCTGGGGTTTCAATATAAGAATTTGGGGAAGGGCTGGGGCTATAGCTCAGTGGTAGAGCACTTGCCTAGCATGTGTGAGGCACTGGGTTCAATCCTCAGCGCCACATAAAAATAAATAGATAAGTAAATAAATAAAGGTATTGTGTCCATTTACAACTAAAAAATATTTTAAACCAAAGGAATTTGGGGAGACAATTCAGTCCGTAATAGAACTATTAAATGAAAAGTCACCAGAACTTAAATATTTGTAAATTAACATTCTATCCTTATTCCAAATCAGAAGAAAGTGTGCTCTGGAGAGAATATCAACCATAGATATTTTCTCTAGAAAGATTAGGTGTGGAACACATGGCTCCAACCAACTGTCTCAGCAGGATCGCTCTTACCTTAGACCAAAAACAACAGAGAACTAAATTAAGGAAGATTGTCAGACTTCTGAGACTATATAGCATAAAACAGACTGATAAAGCTACTCATCTCTGAATGTGTGTTATCCTTCAGGAAAGTGACTTCAAGGGATGGCTTAGAGTCTAGAAAGACTGCTGAGAGAGGCTCAAGGGCCAGAATTGCTGCTGTTGCCAACACAGGACTATGAGCCTATAGGGCAGGGCAACTGCCTCTTTGGTTCCAACGAGTAGGGTTCCCTTCTGAGTTCCAGAAGGTTCAGCTACTTCCTTGGTTACAAAGAGAGAATGCCACTCAGGTGCCTGAGATGGTAGAGCCAGGAGACAGAACATAAAGGCACAGATAATTATTCTCAAGCCTGGAAATCTAATGAAATTGTCTTTCTGGGTTGCCAACTTTCTCCAAACCAGTACCTTTTGTTCCTTCTGGTTATTTTTTTTTTCCATTTTAGAATGAGAATGTCTATCCTGCGTTATTCTCCACATTGTAATTTAGAAGCAGATATGTTGTTTTCTGTTTCATAGTTCCACAGGTGGAGAAGAATTTTGCCCCAGGAAAGACTATACCCAGAGTTTCACTCATGCCTGCTTTAGATTACTCAGAAGATGAGAGTTTGGAATTTGAGTTAATTATAGAACGGGTTAAGGCTTTTGAAGATGTTTTGATGTGGTAAATGCATTTTGTGTGTTAGAAAGGTGAACTAAGTAGTTAGAATTGTGTTTCCCCAAAAAGTCCTAACCTCTGGTATCTGTGAAGATAGTCTTACTTTGCAATGGAGAAATAGAGTCCTTTAGGATGTAGTCAATTTAAGAGAAGGCCATACTGGATAAAGAACAAAATCAGCATATTACAGGAATACAGGCATACCAATGTTAATAGAGGTACAGTTCACAATAGTCAAATTATGGAGCAAGCCCAGGTGCTTTTCAATAGATAAATGGATAAAAACTGTGGTATATATACAGAATGGAGTTTTACTCAGATGTAAAGAATTAAATTATGGCATGTGCTGATAAATGGATGGCACTGGAGAATATCATGGTAAGTGAAATAAGCCTGGCTCAGAAAATCAGGGTTGAATGTTTTCTCTAATATGTGAAAGAGAGAGAGAAAAAGAAAGGAATAAAAAGTGTGTAGGGGGTCTCACTAAAATACAGGGAAACCAATAGAGTAAAGGAAGGTAATCAAGAGGGAGGGAAGAGGGAAGGGCATGGAAACATACTACAGACTGAAATCTATCAAATTATGCTATGTTCATGTATGAGCACATCATGATGAATCTGTTTATATATTTAATTAT